ATTCCTGCTCCCAGTAGCTCCGTACAATGATTAGCAATGCAAATACACTCACATCTTTCCCTGTTTTTATGCTGTTATTGATTTCTTTTTTGAACCATGGCTAAAGGAAGACTGTTTCCGCAATGAAAATACTTACGGGAGATCCAGAAAGTCTAGTTTCTGACTCAGCTTAGTCAAATTTGCTTGGTGACTCCTACACACCTGGTTGGTTCCCAGGGGAAAGCATCAAACCCAGATGAGGTCTGGCAGTCCCCTAGACATTAGGGAAGGTTTGGTGTGCGCCTCTGATGCCCCACAGGAAGCACACGGGACAGGGACTGACAGATGCTGTGTGAGAAAGTTATGTTTTGCAACTCTGCAACTTTTGCAACCTTACTGCACAAAATGAGGCACCTGCATCTAGCCCTGGGTTGGCCACTGCTGTGAAAAAAAGAGTCTGCTGCCCCAAATTTTAGGTGCCTGAGTCACTCCTTTGGGGACTGGCTTACTGATTCCTCCTTTGAAAGGAAAATGGGTGAGGATGGCTGTACCTCTTGCTCGTCAGGACTTAGACGTCCCCGGCTTTTGGGGGTGCCTCAGCAGCTACACTGGAATATTGAGTGTTCCATGAGTCTCATCGGGCTCAGGGTAAACTAATCTCTCATCCTCTGCCTGTGTTGTCTCTCCTTTTAAGGTAATTTCCCCATTTAAATGGTTTTGTGAAAATGGTTCCTTCAGTTTTCAGGGCTTTTTTCTTTCAGGTTTTTCAGCGAAAGTGTGAAAGTATCTACTGGACAATCACATCCTAGAGCTGGTTTTTTTCTGATCTTAAAACAAGAACCTTTATTAGTCTCCAATTACTGCCCGTCAACTTGGGAAAGACTAAAAGTAATTATATTCAGGGATTAGAGAAATTAAGTCTCAAGAGACATGGGGCCTTTCAGCTTTTTAATGCTGTTGATTGCATCTTTCTGTTCTGTGTGCCATAAAAGTAATAGAATTTAAATATTTTATAAAAGTGATCTGTGATGGGTGATGGTGCGGAACTGATCTGGTGGTTCAGCTTATGATTTAAAAACCCCCACAAGGAAAGTCTTAAATGCTTCCATCCATCCCACATTATGTATATATCATCTCGATCAGAAAGACTTTCTTGGTAATAAAGATCTATCTAGCTAGTTGTGAGTGTGCTGCCTTCAGACGTTTTCTTTTTAACGGATGGCATGGAAAACTCTTCCAAGGCCAAAATACGTGAATAAGATTTATTAATCCTGTAGCCCCTGTCACTCACGGTAATGCTAATAATCCATAAGCCTTACATCATATCTAACGTCCCATGTAACAAATGCATCTCTGGGAGATGAACAATAAATCCCACATGCACTCTGCTCCCTCCTCCTCCACCTTCATGAGGAAGCCCCAGATTTGGTGCAGCTCTTTCCAGCTACCCTGGTTCCTTCTTCTTGCTTCCATGCTGGCAGGGGGCTGACGCTGCCCCAGTCCTTCCTGGGGGGACCCCTCCTCCAAAGCTGTCAGTATTTGTCACTGTATTTGCAGTCAGGGTAGCGGTAGGCAAAACGGGAATCGCAAGACCGCAGAGGTTTCAGGAGCTCTGCCAGCTTTGCAACCGCCTCGTTGACGCCCTGGTCATCGGCGAGGCCGTCGGCGCAGTGCTGCAGGAAGCTGTCTATTTTCTCCTGCACGGGTTGCAGGAATTTTCCCTTCAGGAGCTTAGGCAAAAGCTCTTGACACACCATGACGAGGCTGTGCTGCTCTCTGATGGAGTTACAGGACACAAATGCAGACTGGCAGTCCACAGTCAAACAGCTAAATATATCTTTATACTCCTGCTGGCCGTCAGTCAGCTGGCTTCCTATTAGAGACAATTAAACCAGTTGTTAGGAGCACAGTAGCAAAATTTTAGATAATTACATATGTCTGTACCTCTGTATTAACATGGGGTTTGTTACTATCTAAAAGATACAGCTATTTTTTGCCACAAAGTACTCTGTGCTGTAGCTGTATATGGGCCAGTTTTCTCACTCCTGAAATATATATATTTTTCTGAATGACAGAGCTCTGCAGAATCGCCTGACAGAGGAAGTGGAGAGGAGTCTGTCAAGTCAAACTGATGCAGAAAAAGCAAGAAGAACTGGAGTACTAACCTAAAATGTGGAGTTCCTACAAAAGCTACCACAAATAGCCAAACCCATAATTTTTCCATGTTACCCCAAATCATTAAATTGCAACAACAGCTCATCTAGCTGGAGTCAAGTCAACAGTAATAGCTGTTGGGACAAGAACAAGAAACCCAGTGGAAAATTCTCTGACAGCTGCTTCTGAATATTTGAGATCTACTCAGCTGAATGTGTGAGCTGAGCAAAGGCCTTTTGAAAATTTGAACATTCAAAATGAAATTGTCAAATTATTGGAGGAACAGTCTTTGACTAGCTCTGCTTCCAGGAGTAGACCAATGTAACCTGTGAATAGTAACTCTTGATTTTATGTAAAAATGACAAAAGGGGGATTTTGTTGTTATAATGATGATTACTAGTTAATGTGATAAAAGCACCTAAAAAGAGTCTGATTTGACCCAATACTTAAAATAAATGACATTATTAACTTTCTACTTGGAAATATTGACATTTGTGTGGCAAGAATTTTAAAAGAGGTGATTTAGGAAGACTTGAAATGAGAGCGTTCAGCACCGCGCACGTTGAATGCTGCTGCCAGCCGCAGAAGAGGCCGGGCAGGATGTAAGCACCCACGGTTGGTCACCAAACCACTGACTGTACAAACAAAACGCCTGTCACCTTCCCGACTCAGAGCCAGGATGGCAGGAGCTGCTGAGGCTTTTGCTGTCAGTAAATCTCTCCGTGCACTTTTCATTATTTAATTTAGCAAGCGATGTTTGGTTGATTTAAAAAAAAAATAAATCAGCAGCAGAGCTGAGCGTAGCAGGTGAAAGATTTGTTTCCCTTGCCTCGCTGAGCCCTCCTGCGACAGATGCGCAGCCATGGAGCCTGCTGAGTACCTTCCTCCTTGTCAATGATCCCCAGCGTGCTGGCATCCCGGATGAACAGATGCCCGTTGCTAAACACGCCGAAGGTGCCAGCGTCCACGTGGGTGAAGTAGAAGAAATAGTTGAGGTCGTTGGTGCCCATGGAGCGGAGGACGGTGAGGAGCTGGAGGGCCAGGTCGGCGGCCACCTCAGGGGCTGCGCCGTAGAAGTCACGCAGGGGCCGGGTGCTGGCGCTGACCACCAGCCGCCCGCAGGAGCCCAGGTACCGCGGGAAGGGCCATCCCTCCACGTCGGGGAAGATCTGCCGGGGAGAATGGGAACGGGGGGATTGCCACTGCCCTCTGGCCGCTGCGCTCTGCCCGTGGACCCACATCCCTCCTGGAGGGCTTTCAAGTGCCCCGGCTAGCTTCAAGCAGCTGTGCCCGTGCTGTGTTTTGCTTTCTAAAGCAGCCTGCAACCCTTTCTCACCCCAGCCTGCCCCAGCAGCCAGGGGAAGGTGCTGCTCTATCCTGGAGTAGCTATGCTGTTTCTTTTTTTTTTTCTTTTCCTTTTTATTAATTAAGGAAGAAGAATCTGATATTTCAAGACTTATTCCGTGAGAGAGACTAACCAGAAAGTCCAAGATAATAATAGATTTAAATTCATGAAAGTTTTAGCCACAGAAGAGCTAATTTTAGGTGTCTTTATGGAGCCTTTGATGGGTCATTCATGAGTGCTGCATAGCTGAAGTCACAGCTTGGAGGTGAGGTGGGGCTAAAGCAGTTTTCGCTAATTTGTAAGAACTGCCCTGCTGTTTTGTAAGAGTTTGCAGTCTTGGGGACAGAAGTGCTGGGTGTTTGCTACAGGGGGGACACCTGGCTGGGCTCCCTGCATCACTGCAGGTTGGGTAGGAGCAGTTATCCCAGGTGGAAACCAAACCACATGACTGCTGAGCCATGCCAACATAAAGCTTTCTGCCATTTACATTATAACTTGTCTGTCTCACCAGTGCCCCAGACTCTGCCAAGGCAGGGTTATGAACTCGTGCAGTTTCATGTTTAAGGTTGCTTCTCCCTTCTGCTGTGAAGGCATTTTGGGCACCCACGTAAAATCAAGCCATTTCTCTTCAGCATATTTTTCTCACCTCTTTAAGCTGCATTCCCATATCTTTACAGTGCTGAAGCCACAGCCTCGTGCCCCAGCAAGCCATGGCAAGGGTGGCTGAATGACCCCCAGGAGACTCCCAGAGCACGAGCACCATTCCCCCTCCCTGGGACCGGGCAGAGCCCTGTGAGCTGCTGAGGGCAGCAGTGGCCTGGGGCCAGAGACAGATGTTGCCGCTGCCTTTCTTCTTTGTGGAATCTCAAAGGGTTGAAAGAAACAGCAATGAGGACTAAAGGTGGGCCGGTGGTGGGGATGGGTGAGGATACTCCCTCAGG